GGTGGTATATAAATAAAGATTACTTAATTACTACTTACATCACATTTTATAAACACAATGTAGATTTCCCAGATTTAAAACTAAAAGTTGTTTCACAGTTTCCAAACATTCTATAGCTGCTTTCCCACTTACACATCTCAACAAGATAATACTGCTCCCCTCGAATCACAGTATTTTTTTCTGTGATACAGGATTTGGTAATTGTTTTCCTTCAGATTCAGATTTATTTATTTGCCATTCAAGCAACAATCAACTGTTTGCTAACTTTATCATAGGTCACACATGTTACTAATTCAAAATATGCCAAATCAATGATGAAAAACCATTGTAGAAGTCAACACGCCAAGAAGTCTTCACTTTGGAAAATATGAGGTAATAATTGTCTTGAAATGAGATTTGCCCATGGGTCAAGTCATGAAGGTCAGGTCCCTGGAGCTGCCTCCCAGAGCAGGTGTGTGGAGGCTGTTCGGGCCCAGCTGCCTCCAGTCTGCAAACAGGCTTCTACAAAATCTCCAGAAGCCAGCTCATCGGTGCCACATTGGTGTTGCAGTACATTTAGTGGGCCCCTTTTGAATCGTTCTTTTTACCTCTGTACTGACCTTTTGTTGCTCTGCCTCAGACCTCCATTCCGCACCTCCTGACCCCAGCATCTGTCCCAGCTCGCCTGTGTTTTGAGTTTCCTGTATTTTTTGTTCATTTTTTACCCCTGCATTTGGGTTTCTTGTCCGACTCCTAACACATGCAGTTTTATTTCAAGAACAATTAGTTTAGTTTGTTATTCCAAGGGACAATTTTCTTAAAAAACTTTTGAAAACAAGAACATTTTGCAAATCTTGTTTTAGAAGTAAAAATGTGCCAAATTTCAGTAATTCTTTTTCTTATTTTTCATCACTTTTTGCAGTGCATGAAGACAGACAAGCAGGTGGATCAAGTTTGGCTGGTTATTTACTGATTTGTACTTGTTTTGTTGGCAGTGTCCAGTCTGCACACAGAATTATGAAAAAACCTAGCGTCATCCACTTGTAAATCTAAATGATGTGACAGCAGGAAACGGATGAATACTCTCAAAATAAGTTATTGTTGAAGATGCTGGTTTTGGCCTCAGACTCGTACTCTGCTTCCTCTCCAGAGAGTGAAGACTGGAGAAAATGGTCCAATCCCCAGCGGACAGATATAGTTGTCATCAGAGCTGTAGCGAGTACATTTTTCAGCCTTGAACCTAGTTTTAGGTCCGCTGCTTGTTCAGAGGTCGGTCCTGTAAATTTGATTGGCATCGGCGTAAAAGGGAACAAGGTTATTGGCGAGAGCACCTTTGACAAATTGTAAACTGGGGCGAAAGATCGTCTGCTCCGACTTAACATGTAACACTTGTGAATGAGTCAGAGATCCTGCTTGGGCTTCGGATCTGCCCAACGCATTTATGTTTGTGGACCAAAACACGACATACGCTAACCTACAGTCGAGTGAGGAAAAAGACAGTCCTGCTAATCAGCATCATAATCCTGAATACATCTTTTATTGTTTAACACTCCACAAGTATGAAACTACAAGAACTCCCAGAGCTGCCATTTTGAGTGCTTTAATTCAAACCAATGGGATTCTGAGAAATCAGTGGATAAAGCACTGGTTGCAGACTTGGGTGAGATTTGGGTGGCAGCTCTGATTACCACCCCCCCCCCCCCCCCCCCCCCCCCGACCCAGAAATGGATCAGAAAAGGTAGAAATGACATGACAGGTATCTTTATTTTGTTTTTGTATTACTTGCTGGTAAATATAACTTGAAATACAGCAAAAAACAGTCTATTAAAAGGGTACCAAATGCTATCACGTAGCAAGTAAACATTACGTTGCTATGGTTACTAGTACTGGCTCTACTCTGGAAGGTAAAGGTTGAATAACTCCCAATTAAAAAGTAAAAGAAAATGTAATCAAAATGAGGACAGAAATAAACTTCATTAAGAGAGAGAAAAAGTCATGTTATGAAGACCAAATAAAACATGCAAACTATAAGCCGTCAAAAGGACTGCTCTGGGAGTTCTAGTGTTAATCTGCTATAATGAGTCATGTATAAGTACCCATATTGTTGAACAGTCTAGACCAGCCTTGAAAAAATGGCGTTATTGAGTCAACAGATTCAAGCATGGATTTCAAGATAAGATTCAAGTGAATAGTTTACTTTTACGGCCAAAGCTCTGAATCCAAACAAAGGACAGATCAGGCAGCAGGCCTGGGAATGCCTCGGGATTCCCCCGGATAAAACAAGAGAAAATGGATGGATGCGAATGAAGATGTTTTTTTCCATCTTGATTTAACCAAGGACTTACAAGCGGGTTACAATTTATAGTACCTTCATATATATTTACATTATTATAGTTACACATATAATATATATAATCATTTTGAGTAGTTTTTAATTCTCATTCCAAGTGAGACATTTATTGTATCTTTTTTAATCATTTTAGATCCTTTTGTTTGTCCCATTGGTAAATATTCAAGTACTCAAATTAAGACAGATTTTGCCGAATTTGAGTACACAAAAAGTGTTAAAATGTACACATACATATTTATTTATTTACTTATTTACTAATTTACAAAACTTATTCCTTGATAGACATTCTCTATAAGCGGAAGCAAAAAATGTGCCTAAAAGTAGAACCACTATAAATACAAATAACTAATGAATACTGCATTTTACTCTTACCATAAATAAGGTTAAAACACTGGTCTAGACCCTCAGCGTCCACGGCTGACATAAGAACGCTTTAGCAGGCGGCGCGTCCTCTGCCTATAACCGGTGCGCTCCCATATGATGACATTTTCATTCGTCGCTCTTATTTATTGTATCTCATTTTCTTGTACGAGATTACAATCTGTGGCCAATAAAACACCACAATGAGCCAACTGTCAGTGCGTTTGACAGTCCTGTGCTGAGTCAGGGCCACAAATTAAATCACTGCATACTTCGCCTGTGTATTTATGATCCTATCAGTGGAAGAATTTATACAACATTATTACACCTAATTAATTCCAACAGCGTCTGAACTTTAGCTTTATAACGAGTCCAAGTCATTTTCTGAACACATGTGGACGATGGAGGCTCCGTTACAACACATACCTGCAGACATTGGAAACTCTTTTGGCCACATTATTGTGTGTTTTGGTGTTGTCTCTTTAGATATCATACACTAGAATTCAAAGCTATAGTATGTAGTGCAAATATGAACAATTATTGGACCTTAAATATAATTTCTAGAGTAATCACTTTAGCATTCCATGTCTTAGAATGTAGAAGCATTTCAATCTGGAGAGACTACACAGACACAAAATTCCATTCATTTAATTTATTTAAGTAAGTAAGTAAGTAAGTAAGTAAGTAAGTAAGTAAGTAAGCTTTATTTATATACCGCCTTTCACAGACCAGAGTCACAAAGCGGTTTACAATTGTTATTTTTTGGGCACTTGTCTCTCACTCCACACAGAGATGGGAGCGGGTCGCCGAACAGGAGGCGCATGCCAGAACTATTGTACATATTTTTAGTGGTAGGGGAAACCGGAGTACCCGGAGGAAACCTACGCAGACACAGGGAGAACATGCAAACTCCACTCAGAAAGGCCCTGGTCCGGCCGGGATTCGAACCCAGGACCTTCTTGCTGAGATATTTGTTTGTTTGGCACCCTTGGCCCCGGCTGCGGCACTTAGTCTGAAGATCATTCCTTGTGTGCTGCTTCGCCAGTACCTCCAAGATCGAGGTACTGGTGGTGGCATAAGACCTGGTTACTGGTGGTGGCGTAAGACCTGTAGGTACTGGTGGTGGCGTAAGACCTGTAGGTACGGGTGGTGGCATAAGACCCAGGTACTGGTGGTGGCATAAGACCCAGGTACTGGTGGTGGCGAAAGACTTAGGTACTGGTGGTGACACCAGAACAAACTCCTTGCAAAGCTGGAAAAGGGTTAGTTGTTGGAAGTTTCCGCTTTTAAACAACTGGCTTAATTGGTGTAGGTTGGCAGCGCTGTGTGATTGGCCGAGGGTGAAAGGGGCCGGCTTGGATGAGCTGCAGCAGATAGCCTACCAGACTGAATTTTCACATGCTGCACTTCCTATAGCTGGGGTACTAACTTATGTGTTTTTTCCACCAGAAAAAAGTCTTGAAAGTAAAATATTTTTAATAAATCAGACCACAACATGGTGTTTTCCTCTCATTGAAAAACATGTTACTGTATATTTGTCATACATGTAAGAAAGAGCCCTGTGAGTGACTTTTTGACCTGAGCTTCAAAGAGCTGATTGGCTGAGTGTGGGTTTCAACATCGAACACGACGTTGCTCAGCCACCCACACACATAGTTCATTACTTTGTATTTATTTATTCTATGATACACACACACAACTCAGCAGACTTACGGTCACTTCTGGGAAACATTTTAAAACAAAAGGCACTGATTTTGGCACGATAAGTAATGACTTTTATGGATTGTAAAAGGTCAGAAAACAACATCACCGTTTTAAATAAAGACTTTTTCTCCTCTGTTATTTTTTCCATAAGTACCTAATGACATTGTCACTAACATGTTTTTTTTTTCTTTTGGCATCAGCTCATTGTGTTGCCGATTATTTCCTCAGCAGCAGGATATTGAATGTATTGAACGATAGTCTCTCGTGACACCTCTGCACATTCAAAACACAATATTGCTGCTTTTTCTCAGCATCACAACATTTATAACCTCACACCTTTGCCTCTCCAAACTGACCAAAGGAATGCGTGGCAGCTAACACGGCACACTGCAAACATTTTTCAAAAGTGAAAAAGAAGCAAAGATACATGGAAAAAGTGGCCGCAGCCTTGGCCCCAACACCGGCTTTGAACGCGTGCAGTAAACAACAAGTCACGCAAATGTACACACGCAGATGATGATTCAATTCAATTCTCGGACTGGGTTCCACATGGCACTGCAGAGACACTAGAATGGGGTTATCAATGTAATACTCAACATATGACAGCATGCACGGAGAATCCATCCAGACCAGTGCGACTGCCAACTTTGAGACAATGGAAGCTTTTGGGGCTCCCCTCCCTTCAGAGCAGTACGAAGGCGGCTCCCTCCCTGACGTCAGCCTGGTTCCCCCTATTAAAACAATATACCAAAAGTACAGTGTGAAGGCTTTTAATGACAACTTGGATTAATGAGGAGATGTCTACGGTGCGTGCCCTTTATGGGAGGGATCACAAAATTTCTCACCAAACTTTGAGTGAATGATTGAGGCAACATAATTGTATTTCCTGAACTGTTTGATTCTTTGATCTGTTGGAAAATGGACGGTTTGGTGAAGTCCTCTGAGATTAAGCTGATTTGATTTAGGGTTATACAACAATACATTGAGTATAAGTTATTTGAAATCACCAGCATGGCCAGGATTCTGCAAGCCTCTGCCAGCTCATGCTTGATTCCGATTTTTCCGGTCTGACCTTACAATACATTACTGTATAAGGTGTTACAATACAGTATACTAAAAACTATTTTTTTTTTCTTAAGAGACAAGCAATTTTTCACTAAGAACCTAAAACCTTTTTTAAGAATCGTTTTTTCATTGGATTATTGACAGCTAAACTTATACCAGTTAAAGGACTGCATTTTTCCAACAAAATGTCCAGATCAGTACTGATAGCCAATACCAGTGTTGTCAGCATTGGCGCATTCTTATTATCTACCAATTTAATATAGGGTCCAGAGAGTTGACATTAAGGGATCTTGTTATACATTTTCCTTCATACAGAGTTCAAATAGGGGGCGACAATGGCTCAGTTGGTAGAGCATTGGCCTTTGAGTCTGAAGGTCGTGGGTTCAAGCCCATCATGAGACCTACTTCACGACTGATTGCTGTCATTGTGTCCTTGGGCAAGACACTTAACCCCACTTTGCCTGAAGCCCCCGCTGAAAGATCTCAGCTCCTGTGGACTCACCACCTGCAGGAGGATCATTGAGGGGCTGGTGCTCTGTGTACTGGGTGCAGCTCTGACTGCCACCCCCTTGACCCAGAAATGGATTAAGGGGAAGAAAATGGATGGATGGAGAGTTCAATTATCAATCAATCAATCTTTATTTATAGAGCACTTTTCCTACACAGGGTAACACAAAGCGCCTCACGGTCCACACCACACAAGGCACACATCATCACATAAACAAAGGCCAAATCACCATTAAAAAAACAAATATATGCACACAGGTAATTAAAAACACAATAGCAATTCAAAGGTTTGTCTGGAATGACCTGAAGCGAGACATTCCATACAAAACGAAAGTTTGTGGGATGAGATGGTATTTAGCTTCCAATCATGTATTAATTAAGTAATTGGCAGAAGAAAAAATAAGTGTGGTTTGTGCAAATGTGGGCATGCTAAAGGAATCCTGAAATGGAAGCATGATTCAGTAGCAACTTGTGAGTCATTGATTTGTGCGACTGTGGGGAAAATCAGTAAATAATACTGTCTGAGAGAGCAGAATGTGTTCTTTTGAAGAATGTATTTGAAAATGTTGTCCAGACTGTCTTAGAAGGCTTTTCTATCAGTTCAGTGGAGAGCGCTGCCAAAGTCCTGATACCTGGTGCCCATTGGTTTTTTGTGTGGGACTCCATGAGTTTAGTCAGTACAGTATTGAGTGTTGAGGTGCAGGTGAGTGCATGTGTCGTTACTGTAACACGCTAATGTTACAGATGTGTGAAGCCGCCGGAGAGAGGAGCTGAGAGATTCATGTAGTGTGTGTGATGGAGTTAGCAGGCGTGTGGCCCCACAGTTCAAAGAGCCTCCCCAACAGAGGAGCAAGGCCCAGCAGGTCACATGTGGTTCTGCTCACGGCCCTCACCTTCAGCTCACACAGGACGCAGCTCAGAGCACGCAAAGCTGCTGCCTGGACATCTCTGCCGCCGCAGCGCCGCACTTTCATGTGCTCAAGACAAGAGGTAATGATTTGTGCTCTGACAAGGCCTGTGTGTGATCACTGCTGTCGCTCGGGGACACAGCAGGCGTGCTCTTGATTATTCACAAATCTGGAGGATATTTCATGGAAATATTCTCCGCTCGTCCGGGGTGAAAGCTCTCATGCTAATATTGAAAACGTCTCTGTAGTCGGCCTAGTGACTCCTCCAACTTTGTGTTCGGAATCATGGCAGCAGCAACTAAACATCAGGCTGATTTGTCACACTCAAACAATAGAAAAAGTTTATCATATGTATATATAACTATTATTTTTGTTGTTGACCTTTTAGTTAAGCATCAGCTAGTGCGTGCGAATCAATCGACAATATCAATAGTTGTGCGTTAAAATATAAAGATAGTGTCATGTGCTTTACAAAGTTCAGATATTGATCCAATCATTCCACACATAAAGGCAACCTAGACACGGGGAGAACATGCAAACTCCACTCAGAAAGGCCCTGTTCCGAACAGGATTCGAACCCAGGACCTTCATGCTGAGAAGCAAGAGTGCTATCCACTCAGCCACGTGCCGCCTTAAAACAAGATTTGCCAATGGGACAATCAAAATGATCTTGTTTTCAAAAGATACAAGACATTTCTCCCTTGGGACGAGAAAATAAAGCAACAATTCTTGAAATATGACTTTATGGCTTTGTCCATTTGGCAAATTTTGTCAGAATGTTCTCAAACTCATCACCTCATAATATTTTTTTTTTTTTGCAGTGTAGCTTATTTCACTCCTCTGCTCTGATCCATGGCTGCTGCAGAAGCCGTCCTTGTGTGTGGCATCTGCTGCAGAGGTTGACAGGAGACAGTGCTCTGCTCCATCAGATCAAATGAGGGGCCATTATGTGCAGATCCTCCAGGAGCTGAGAGCGATAACAGCGGCGCACTGAGGCTCTCCAGACCAAACTGTGCTGTCCCCGCGGAAGATAAAGAACTTCCTCTTTCCAAAGGTCCCCGTCCTCGTCGGGATAAGCACATAATCAGCGTGGACACTTTAAACACTACTCTTCATTAGCGTGCGGAAAGACTTTGAGGAAGACCACTGGTGTATTGGACGGGGGCCACGCTCGACCGAGTTTATCGAGAACAAGTGTTAATAATAGAGAGCCACACAGAGAGAGCCAATTATAATAATAGACACATTTAGACAAGATCAGTTAAAAGGGACACAATCTGACTTTTCTGTTGGACTTCTCAGTGCTGCACATATCTCAGACGTCATTTATCACTCCTCGTTCAAAGCTGTGGCAACTAAATAGTGATTTTCTTTTTGCTTTGTTTATGAATTTGTGCCAGAGCATGGAGTGCATTGGATGAAGGGTTTTGAATTGATAAGATTTGTTTCAACAGCGGTTATGTTATATTTAGCATTTAGGCGCAGTCCCCATCCGTCCTGCTTTTTGTATCGAAGACTTTTATAGATGATTTTAGTGCTTAAAGACATGTGTGGTCATTCACTCATTGACTGCCAGACGTTTTTGATGATTTCATTGATTCTCAAGACCCACAGAATATTATGTGCTATATGTGAAATGTGAAACCATATTCTGAACATTCTGACTGGATTGCGTACTTTCATCAGCAAAAATAAATTGGTTTCTAGCTAGTTTTGTCGTCCTCTAAACCCCAGTTGAAAAGAAGGAAGTTTGACAGATATCACCAGTCTCAGACGAATACATCTACGGCAGTCATTGAGTTAATACATTATTCTGACTGTGTATTTTTTTCCTTCTTTCCACAGATTTAATTGAATTGAATTGAATTTGTTCTAGTATAGCCCCAAATCACAACAGTAGTTATCTTGGAGGACTTTACAAAACCGTCAATTCGCAAACATGTTTCCTGTGTTTCCTGTGTTTTAACTGTTCAGTTAAAGAATTGAACAATTAAAACACAGGAAACACAGTGGTAAAAAAACAAAAACACAAAACCATTGGTCTATAAAGGGCAGATAAAAGGTTGATAAAGTCCAAAGATAATACAATATGATCTGATTCTACAAACAGTTCACCATAAAATCACCAGTTACCACCAGGTTGTTTTCTAGTTGGTAGTTATGGGTCAAAACAATCAATCTATAAACAGTTATATCTACAGTACATTGTTCATAGCACCAAATTCCTCTCACTTTTCACCTGAAGCAGCTCCATGTGGCGCCTGCTGTTCCCGGAGGTCTCCCAAAGGTAAAGTTTGACCGACAGGATCGTCTTGCTGCGAGACCAGACAACCTTTTGAATGCGCTGGGAAACGGCTGCAAGTCCTAAGTAGCTCTGAAACAGTTGTTGTTTTGTGCTTTTGAATTTACTTTTTTATTGCTTTTTTCTACCTGAGATGTTGGTGCAGTACAGTGTTCATGGTTTTGCACTAGTCCAGACTGGAGCGGAGAGGATTCATGGTCCGAACCAAGCGAAAATCCACTGGAGGAATGCTAACTTTATGAAAAAATGCTACTATATCTTACAATGTCATTTGTTATGATTTGTTATTCTGATCTTTTTCAATTTCACTGATAAAATCACCCTGATACAAGGACAAAGTGTTAACATTGCTTCCAGAATTCCTATTCCCCTAAGAACAAGATTGACTTCTCATTGTCCCACCATTTTCTTCCAGTTCTTTCTTTGCAAGAGGAGATAAGCTGGAACAACAAGGCAGAAGAACAGGGAATTTGTATCATTCTTGTGCACACGAGTTCATCTATATCTTTAATGACCAATGACTGCTTCCATTTCCCTGATTTTATAACATTTCTTTGCAAATGAACAAGTCCTGCGGGACAAAGGCTGCTGTGATTTTGGCCAATCTTCCAAAATAGCCGTTTCTTGTAAGCAGCACATAAGCGACAGATCAACCCTGCATTATGTTCAAATTAAGTTATGACGAAGACAACGAGAAAAAAAGCAGCATAAATCTCTTACATCTGCGTTTCTCCGTTTCAAAGCTTGGAGTGTTTAGAGTTCGCCGTACTTTGCTTTCCTTGTGGTTTATGTCAAGATAACAATGTCCAAATGAAAACAGCTGCGGATTCACATTCTTAAAATAAAACAAGCCTTTTTATCATTTGCATAACTTTCGTGTCGGCACAACAGACCAGGCACAACTGCGAGACATCATTTAGAAACAAAGACGATCCGCTGCAGATGTTTGAAGAAAAATGATCACACTGCAGAAAGTAATGAAAAAATAAGTCAAAAAATTGGTTGAACTCAATCATCATTTCCTTGCATGTAACGTCTGGGTCTGGTCCCTGTGTTTGCGATTACAATTGGTTGAATTCCATACAACCAATCAGCGAGCGCGGGAGGCGGGTGATGTAGAGAGTTTGTGCCAAACGGGCAGGTTGTAGTTTGGCAATGACAAAGAATGCAATAGTAAAGTATTCCGGTCTGGTTCTATCAAGACATTGAAGCAGGAGCAGGAGGAATGTTCAGCAAATGTGATCACTGGAAAAAATTGTGGCGCTACTCCCCACGGGCTCTGTTAGCAGCAAAGAAAATGGCTAAGCTAAATGCTAACAACTCACTCGGGCTCATTACATACGTCATGGTAAACTCAGATCCAATCGTTTCAATCTGCAAAAGGAGTTAACCCCTCCCACCTGTAAACAGAGTCAATGGAGCCCCTCCAGACCTTAGTATGAAATGTAATTTGTACTGTGGTGTGGTGCGACCAGGCTAGGATGAAATGTATCTTAAAGGCGCAATATGTAAAATGTGGCCAAAAGTGGTACTGCAACCTCTCCCACTCTCCCTGACTCAGGTTGCCAGATATGCAGAAGAATCCAACTGGGATTAGCTGAATAGAAAAGAGTTTTGTCAACAACAAATCTATAACCAACACCTTTTTCACAAAGGCATCACGGATAGAAATCTGTTTTATTCCATTATGATTTGAGAATCATAACGAGACCTTTTTTAGTACTTTGGCCACCATGGTACTTTACCAGTGACATTAGCTCGACATGGTGAGTTCTGGCAACTCGGACCACAGACTTTCTGATTGGTGAAACAGTGGAGGGCGGGACATTGAAATGATAACAACAACAAGATTTAGGGGCTGTAAAACTAATTTTGAAATCCAAATATCTCTGAACTACTGTTATCCGTTAAAGAAGTATTTCATGATGACTTGACATGAAAATCTTACTTAACGTGACATTGAAAGATCAATAACGTTTCTTATCTTGACTTGATTCCAGCGTTAACACTTTTTGCAGTGTGCGAGACATAATTTAGAAACAAAACGACGATCCGCTGCAGATGTCTGAGCAATATTTCACACATTTCCTTTTCATGGCAACTTCTACATGAACCGTGTCTTGTGCCAAATTGAAATGGAGGCGAGGTTTTGCCAGTGTGCATCAGCTGGTGTTAGAAGTACCCAACATATAGCGTGGCACTGGTTTGAGTTAGAGCTCCTACAGTTAACCAGACGCATGAAATACAATACACGCATATGGTTTCACTTGGACTCGAGCCGGACTCCTTTGAGCTGCATTTGTAAAGAACATGTCATTTCTGTAAATGCCAGAGAATACTTTACAATATGGATGGGGACGGCTGCAAAGGAATAATAATGTCGCAGCATAATCTTCATTCAGTCTTAAAAATTCCTGTACGTTACATAAACTTAATCGGATTGTAGTATTATAATTATTATAGAGAAGCAAATCTAAAAGCTCCAACTTTAGCATAACGAACAAGCAAGAACTAAGTATAAAACCTCTGACTTTAGCAAAGTAAAGACGTATAAAAATCTCTAACTTGCTGTACGCCTCTAACTCTTGATTGACTGGATGCTGGTGTAAATGAGGGCTATAGAAGAGGCTATAACTGTAAGGTTCCTAATGTATTTGAAGTGACAATGTCGGCCAATTTGACATAATAAACTGGTGGAAACTCATTTTAATCCGATTGAAAAGGCCCACACTGGTAACACACTGATGGAGAAGAGATGAAATAATTTGCTATTGCTCTAATTTCTTTTAGTTAGTTTATCAGGTTCCATTCAGTCACATATCAACAGTACACATTATGAGTTTCCAGAAGTTTCTGTGTGTACCTTAGGCCAGTGTTCCTAAACATTTTTGAGCTGTGGCACACCTTTGTCATTGCAAAAAGTCACATAAGTGAATTTTTAAACTCTACCTTCTTTATTAACAAAGCAAAGTAATAATCATCAGTGAATATTATAAAACAAATCAAACAAGCACAAACAAATCTTTCTAATCATTTAGCATTATTTACTTTTTACATGATTTTGACCAAGCAGGTGATATTGGACTATTTCCAAGGCACACTAATAAACATCTCAAGGCACATCAACGTGAATGGCACACCGGTTTGAAAACACTGCCTTAGGCAAAACTTCAGCTGTCTATGATTGAGTGAGCCTTTCTTTTTGGCTTCCATTATGAATCAATATCTTTAAAAAAAAGGACTATAAATAGTACAGCACGGGCATTTTATTAGATTAAGCCAGAATTTCCATAACTAAACATTTTTACAGTTATTTGTTCATATGTTTGTCCATATTATATTACATTCTTTTATATATTGTGTCTGTTTAGCATTATTAGGTTTTTGACTGTAGTTTGTTCATTGCTATTCACCCGTTGTCCCATTGTTTGTTCCATGTTACGATGACGGGACCTCTGGACCTGGCCTCCTCCATCTACACTTGCGGACTGGCCCTGCCCGACCCGCCTGGGAGTGCTTCGGTCCTGTACCGGACCTGTCCACGTTCTGCGGCTGCTGGTTTCTCAAACCATGGATCTCCCTGAGGTTTCTCACTTTTTCCCACTGAGTTTTTCTTATGAGTTTTTCCTTGCCGATGCAGGAGGGTCTGTTGGGCAGTTAGTGTCCAACTAGAAGGACTGTGGTGATGATCCAGGACACTTTAACATTCTACAACATGTATGACATTTATCAACATGTGTTTTATATTCTTTATGTGTTTTAACTGTTGATTCTCTGATCTGTGTTGGTGATTTCACTGGTTTTGTTAAATCCTCTG